AGTGTTTATTGCAGTTGCAACTGCCCCGGGGTCCGGACGTCTCGGCAAACATCTGCTTCGGTTTGTTGTCCATCTATGTTTGAATTTTAGCTGTCTATAAAAATATAGCTTTACTAGCTTTTACTAGTGACATTGCGTGACCGGGATATGTTCATTGACCAGGATAAAAAGTAACCTATCCCTCTCCATCCGATATGGTATGTGTAGACCAAATTTCATAGTTATTCATTCACTATAATATTTATAATATTATGATAATTTTTAAATGAATCTTTAAAGGAGTTCCAAATTCAAAATTTTTAACTAAACAATTTCAGGATCTTGTTCTTTTAGAAATTCTTATAAAAATACTATAAATCCTTATTAATGTTACAAATATCGCCATGTGATCCCGGCATAGAATAGGCCACACTTTCCTTTCCTGTGGATGTCGTAAGATCCGACTAAGGACGACGAGGGATGGGCAGCAGCGTCTTTCTTAAAACATCTCTAACGCCTGACTGTGGTAGCCAATCTGCCTGCTAAGCGTGACAACTACTGGCAAAACCCTCCAAGGGGGAGGCTTATATGAAACAGTGGGCAGTTAAAGGCTGATACGATGATGATGCTGAATGTTATAAATGTGAAAGTGAGTTTGTTCCTTACCTTATAGTACCTTAGAGGCTTAACCACTTACTGTGAAATTTAATATACACGTACTTTACGAAGAAGTATTACTCTTCTTTATTCTGGTTAGTAAACATATGCCGGTCTTATTTTATTTTATATTCACATATGGTGTCAGCTAAGCCGTTGCACGTCCACTCAACGAAATCTTTCGTGCTTCTTCCTGCCTTATACCATCATTTCATAGATCCTGTGTGTTACCTTAACGATATCCCGCGGTTAAAGTTATCTGTAGTCCCAAAGAAACAAACATACCGGTCGCACGGACGAAGTCGCGTGTAAAAGCCAGTTTATTCAAAAACACAGTTCCATTCAACTAACAACAAACCGTTACCGAATCGAAAGAACGCAAACAAATGTTAGCTCCCAAAGCCGTAATAATCGACAGACGTGTAGACAGATTAAATAAAAAAAAAACGCGTTCCGGATTCCCAATTCAAGTGTTCCGTAGTTAAAAAAAAATAACGCCAATAGCATGAATTGTAGATAGGTTTTATATAAAACGAAAACAATAGTACACATAAGATAATTTTCAATTGTCTTCAAAAAGAATGTAGTTCTCGATTCAGCTGTATTTTTATGTTTGTTACTTCGAAATTTTTTTTTATATAACTTAGAATGGCAAACAAGCTGACGGCCTACCTGATGGAAAGTGGTAACCGTCGCCTATAGACATGAGCAGTACCATGGACATAACAGAGTATACTGTTTCGCCCATGACAACCCCCATGCGTTGCCATTCCTGAGGACTCAGGTGTTATTCCTCCGCACCCAGTAAATTCACGCCATATCCCACCCTTCAAACCGAAACAGCCATACAAACACAACTGCTTCACGGTTGAAACACGAATGGGACAGAGGTATCCAAGCAATCGACTTTTGTACAAAGTCTCCCTCTGGTTATTTATAATTCCGTTATTTATAAACTGATATAGATTTTTTTTTATTTGAAAGGATATACTTTCAGATTAGTCCCAAAGAAATTTTTGCCTTAAAAAAACCGCCTCCTTTTTTTTAAGTCGGTTGAAAATAGACGTAAAATACATGCAAATAGACCGAATCAGTGCAATTTCAAAATACAGTTACCTTTTTAGTCTTTTTACGAAGGAACCCTAAAATATCGCTCGATCAACTTCACGCAGGCAATCAGAATTTATGTTCCCAACGGACTGGCCTCTAAAGCCAGACAGAAAGGTTTTTGATTACTGTTCTGGTAATGTTTATGTCTATTTATGTCACTCGATCTGTCTATATCTGTCTACATTAAACTGTATACTGTAGATACATCTTACTTATATTATAAAATTGTAACTATACGATGTCTTTACATTCCTTTTTTTATACAACTTAGAATGGCAAATAAGCTGACAACCCACCTGGGAGACTTTGTACAAAAATCGTTTGCTTGGGTATCTCTGTCCCATTCGTGTTTCAACCGTATAGTAGTTGTGTTTGCGTGGCTGTGTTTCAGTTTGAAGGATATGGCGTGAATTTACTGGGTACAGAGAAATCATCATCATCTGAAATCAAGACATCTGAGTCCTCAGGAATGGCAACGCATGGGGGTATCATGGGCGTAACAATATACTCTGTTATGTCCATGATACTGCTCATGTTTAAAGGCGACGGTTACCACTTTCCATCAGGTGGGCCGTCAGCTTGCTTGCCATTCTAAGTTGTATAAAAAAAAATCTATTATAAACAATTAGTATTAGTATTAATAAAATAAGTTACAGATATAGCGTATAATTGTAACCTTTAATTTTACACAGAAACTCTGAAATTTGCTAAAAAATACCATAATATTTTATGACTCGAATCCCAGTATACTGTATTCAAAGTTTAATTAAGTACTATGACATTAAAAATAGCCGATTCCCTTTATTTCCAACGGAGCGCAAAACGGCGGCGACGCAAAAAAATGTTTCCCGCTGAATATTACAAATCCTTTTAATTGAACAATCAGTACGTACGTATTGAACATAGATTAAGAATTGGTAAATAGAAAAGACAATTTTAAAATAATAAATACCATTGGACATAAGTCCAACACAACGCCATCTAGACCTAAACTATACAGAGCTTCATCCAAATTTCATATGTAGGTCACACGCCACTACAATAGAAAGAAGAGAAGACTACGCCTCACTCAAACAAGGAGAGAGCTCAGAGCCAATGACCCAGAGGTTGTCGCCCCCCCCCCCCCCCCCCCGAGTTGAAGCCGAGGCAAAGGGGTCCGCTTCAAGGCCCCCACCTAACCCACCTAGAAGAGGGGACAGGGATTGTTAGTAATGAGATCCAACACACCTATTACTAGCAGTATACCCTAACAGGTTGACCTCCACGCGGTTGCCCCTGGAAACCATCGTGATTTTTTTTATGAATTCATCACGATGGGCCAATTGACCTGTTTCATCGTCACCTATCATACCTCACTGGTGCCCCACCATCGTATTCCGACAGCGCAGGCGTGGTTACCATTCCATTTTCATCCATTAAAAAAAATCTACCTAGGAGAGTCTAGATGACCCGGATTGATTTATTACAATCAAAAAAATAATTTAATTTTGATAGCCAATTAAAAAAAAAATAGCGAATCATGTTCCAGAATCAATTATTTATCTAAACTTATCTCTTAATCTAATATTTTACAAAATTACTATTTAATTGACCACAACTTGGATTTATAATAGATTTTTTTTTATTATAAGTACTAAAACTATTAACAGATGGCTCTTATTTATCAAAAAACTAGCGATTTGCTTCGGCTTCGCAGTGCGTTTTTCTTTACACAAAAAAAAATGCAAACTATATTACTTGTTGTAGCTATCTATAGGTGAAAGAATTTTTTTTAATTAGTTAAGAAGTTTCGAGTTTATCCATTACAAAACATACAAAATATCAAATCTTTTCTCTTTATAAGTTTTACAATAAAAAAATTAATGAAATATAGTAAAGTATCGTATCTGAATTACATTTTTCTTTGATCAAGGTGTGTATGATTCCTGAAACGATTCGGCGGTAGGGGAACAGCTTAATTAATAGAAGCCAAATATTGACAAGTGTCGGCACTTAAGGCAAAGTACCCAACATACAATGTAGGTGTTAACAAGCGCCACATTTTATTGTTTCATTATTCATTATATTTATAATTTTAAAAACAACATAAATAGGTACTTATTATTACATTTATAGTACATAATAACATATCATAATATAGGCATAATTAAGTAGCAGAATCGGTTATATAAACAAAAAACAAATGCATAGAAGTAAACAAATTATGTGGTGATACGATTAATAAATAAAATCAAACGCCAATATGGATTCCCAGTTAGCGAAAACGTCGTAACGTTCAAAAAAACTCATTTATGGAGTTGATGATAAAATATCTTTTCAATGACTATCACTTTCTATGAGGTGAATCGTTAGCTTGCTAACCATTTCAAGTTGCATAAAAATTTTGTTAATTTTATCAATATTAACTTAAAATATAAAAATAATCTCTTACAGACTGTAAGATAACTTTTAGCGATAAGGTCGCCTTTTATAATTGCACATTCTGTATCAATATTCTAATTCTATTTTGCGTGCAATAAAGCATTTGTTATGTTGTAATAAGTTTTCAGTCTAAGTCGACGACTTCGCCTTAACACCACCAACCAGGTATCCATAGAAACAATAAGCTCTCATCTGATAGACTGGCGGAAGTCTTAACATAATTGTCTCAATCTTAAGGGTTAATATTTAACAATGGCAAATGATAGCGCCCTCACGTCTGAGGGGTGAAAAATTCAATCAACCTCATCCTTACAAGGCTTTCAAGCTATTGTGTTTATTTAAATTAATTTGTTATTAATTCTATACGATAATTGAAATATAATATCATTTTTACGTTAGTTAAATATTTATCGACTTATAGAAAGAAGGGAAACCAGATTTAAAAAAAAATACAATTCTCGCTATCAAATTCGGCAGTATATCAATAAAAACGACACTCCAGTGATTTTTAAAAGAAAAATTCAATTTGTATGTTGTGTATGTGCGTGTGAGCGCGCGAGCGCGCGCGCGTGTGCGTGCATGCGTGCGTGCGTGCGTGCGTGCTTGCGTGCGTGCGTGCGTGCATCCTTGCGTCCTTGTGTGCGTTTACATGTGTGCGATATTTTAGCCAAATTTAAATCAATTTTATTAAATCCTATTTTTACAATTCCTCATATTTGACCTATAATATTTCCTTTTTTTCATAATATTTGCATCATAAATAAATATGTCTATTTATGCATCGAAGTTTAAAATACAATGAAGTTATTTATTATTTTGCCTTACAATCTTACCTTAATCAATTTATTCTGCAATTTGGTTACAGCCATTTTCTCCTTCTGAGTTCTTCTTTTCTCTTCTTCCAATTGTGCTTCCAAATGTTTAATCCGCTTCTCCAGAAGCTCCTGTAAAAAGGAAATATTAAATTTAAAAATTTGTCCAAAAGGAAGTATAAATGTTTTTCAATTTTTATAACAAGAACAAAGATGTTGGATGTGCATTAAGAAAAAATAAAAGTAAAAAATACAAGAGAGGTTTATGATAATTATGAATAAAAATAATTACAGATTAATAATAGTTTTCTGAAGCTTCAAATACATATTATTTTTTTTATATCTAAAAATCTCTCCATAATTCTTTTCCTTATTTATTTTGATTTTAGTGTTATACATGACACATTTTTCTATACAAAACAACTCTTAGTTTAGTAAAATAAACATTTTAAAACCTGAAACACATAATACAGTTTTGCACAGGAACCACTTGAGATCCTATTACCTAACATAGTAAGAAATATCTAATTTACTAATAAACAAATTTAAATCCCCTTGATGTTTAAAAAAAAATTGCAAGTGTTTAAACAGACAATAATCTCTATTAAACTAGTCTAAATTTAACTAAGGGAAATGAGGCAGTGGAGTACAAAGCTAAGCGGAAGTGACGTCATTTGTTCAGTGTCATTCAGGGGGAAATGTGTGATTTAGAATTCGGTTGTTTCCCATTCTAAGTAGATAAAGAATGCGTAGAATATTATTTGGTTATTTAGAAGGTTTCTTTTTCTCGCCTTTTTATTGATTGGTACCTAAATGTTAATTTTGTATTTATTTTAATACAAGAAAAGGTAGAATTTATAAATAATTATGAACGGATATAAAATTTATAAATAAATTAAGGGTTTAACATGAATCACTTTCTAAAAAAACATGGACAAATTACGGACTCTCGCAGATGATAATTATTAAAAAAAAAACATAAGAAAAAAAACGAAAAAGTATACCCCTTAATTAACCTCTTAAAAATATTCTATGATATCAGTGACAACTTTATATTAAAGTAGTTCAATAACTACCTAAAACGATCCTACTATTTACTTATTCAACTTTTTATTGCACCCAATATATAAAAATATACAAAGACAATTAGAAAATCCAATTAAAATACAACATGATAAAGTACAAATCAGAAGATAGACATAATAATTGTATTATCTGTTGTAACCAGTCAGAGGTTTCGATTACATAGTCGAAAAAAAAATTATTCAACCCAATTTGAATAAAAAAAAAAATGTTTAAAAGTATTCCGGATAGAATTTATTCTGAGCAATAGAGTTTTGGACGGAACTGAAAACATTATCATTCGTTGAACACCCATAAATAATATGACCCGTGTTTCCTACTAACGCATCATTAACAAAGGGCGACATTTCAAGCGATATTATGAACTAGCCCTATTCCATTGAAATAAAGGAAAATATACTCTATGCATAATAGAATAAAGGCGACAAAATATGGTAACGGATTTTGTAAATTTCAATGAATAAGAACAAAGAGATACGCCGACTATATTGACAAAGATTAAGTGATACGTGTATTGTCACTTAACATTTGTACGTAATTCTTGTTAGTTGTTTAGGTATATATTTCTTTTGCCGTCATTAAATAACTGAAAATCGAAATTTGGATAAACCATTCTTAAAACATCACCATCAGGCCTAAAACCATCGTTGAATTCGTCACGATGGGCTAACTGACTTGTTTCATCCTCACCTATCATCTTTCACTGGTTCCCCGCCGTGGTGGTTACTGTTTCATTATCACCTATAAAAAAAAGACCCGCCCGTCAAGCGAATCAACTACTGGTAAAGCCTAACATTTAGAGGAGGACTATGTCCATTAGTGGACAATTAACGGCTGATATAATAAACGTTTTTTGTTTGAGTTAAATCTTTATATATGTTATTGTACTCATGCTTTCCTGGGTGAGCGTATTTGAAGACTGTAAAGCTCACCCAGTGGATGTAATAAATAAATAAATAATAATATTTTATAGCATGAAGGATTTCTTCGTTTTATAAAGATACGGCAATCACCTTTAATTTCATCCTTTTGCCATTATTCGGTTCCGGTCGAGGTTCGCACAGATAGACAGAATTTTCGAAAATAATATATAGATAAGATAAAGATATATTTATTTAACAATGTATGTTTGAATAAGCACAGAATTTATCATAGATTCCTACACTAGGCTGAGCCTGTCCTGTAGGAAACAGTATTCGTATTATTATATACATGCATACAGAAATTAACATAGGTTTTTTAGTAGTACTGATAATTGTATATCTACTAATTTATATGATGCAATTATTTTTTACTTAGATCTCACCACTAAAACACATGTATTGATAATATAAATGATATAAAGTCCATGATACTCGCCGATACAATAGCTTTTTATAGGTGAAAGAATTATTAAAATCGGTTGTGTAGTTTTTCAGTTTATCCACTACGAACAAATAACCAAATCTTTCCACTTTTTAATAGTGCTACTAGTTTATTTCTTTACGAGTATAAGAAAATAAATGTTCAGGGATGAATTGAATTCGTGAGATATCTTCTCAGAGCAGGTAGCTAATAGGTAATAAAGGAAAGACGTGACTGCATTTCTGCATCTATTATACTATGATACCATCTCTGGCGCCACTGCGCTTGCTTTACAAATAATAGCTATCTATATGGTGTCTAAGGAGGGAGTGAAATCTTTCGGAATGATGGATAAATTAATGGGTTCCGTTATTGAAAATTGATACATGAGAATTCTAGTCGCTTTTATCACCCTTTAAATTATCATGTACCTACATCATTGTTGGATAATTAAGAAATAATTTAATCAGGTGTTGACACTTAATTGTTATTTTTTATAAATTGAAATCGTTAATACATTTGAAGAAAGTTTTGTACCAAATAAATTGAATGTTTTTCAAAAAGTTTTGAGCTTTCCTCATTATATATAACTAGCGGCCGGTCCCGGCTTCGCACGGGCACATTTTTACAACATTTTAAAAAGTGGTTATTGTGACATAATGATAATAGTTGGAAATATAGTGTCGCGAAGTTTTTTATAGTAATTGATACTTTCTTCATTATTGTAGAACATACTTTTGTTCTATCACCAATAGTTTCCGCAGCGCACGCGACGGAAGATATTTTATAACATTTTTTTACACCTCGAGTTACGTTACTAAAGTTTTAGTAAGGATCCTTGATCTATTCTAGCAATAAATATAGCCTATGTTACTCAGGGTGAATGTAGCTTTCTAATGGTGAAAGAATTTTTGAAATCGGCAAAGTAGTTTTTGAGTTTATTCATTATAAACATACATACATAAACATACAAAAAATACAAATCTTTCCTCTTTATAATATTAGTGTAGATGTACTTAACACGTTGACTACTATACGTTTTTATGCTAACTAGGATAATAGTGATTGTTATCAGCCGTTAACTGACCACTGCTGGATATAGCCTCCCCCACAAGGGGGGTTTTACCAGTAGTTGCTACACTTGGCAGATAGGTTAGCAACTACAGAATGATAGGCGAGGATGAAGTCAGGTCAGTTGGCCCATTACTACGAATTTGACAATAATTAATCACGATAGTTTCCAGGGGGAACCGCGTGGAGGTCGACTTGATAGGGTATATTGCTAGTAATGGGGATTAATGTCCCCATTACTAACAATCCTTCTCCCCCACAGAAATATGTTACCTACTACATACTATATTTACGTATTAGAACCGTTTGAGGGTCTCACGTCAGTCGCTGTAAGTCATTAGCGAGACCTAATGCGGGAGACAGGAGGAATGTTTTGCGAACGATCCATCAAGATAGTATCTCCAAGCAAACGACACTATTACCTACATGGGAAAAACGATGGGAGCTAATTGAGGGGCTGCTACGTACTAATATTTTGTTTTATAATATACTAGCGACCCGGCCCGGCTTCGCACGGGTGCAATGCTGATACTAAATAGCGCCGCCGGTCCTCCATTACATTACGACACCACATTAGAAACCTCTAAAATTATCAGTGTTCCTCTACTATATTATGCATGTATTATACATATAAACCTTCCTCTTGAATCACTCTATCTATATAAAAAAACCGCTTCAAAATCCGTTGTGTAGTTTTAAAGATTTAAGCATATATAGGGACGGACAGACGGCGACAGCGACTTTGTTTTCGACCGACTTCAAAATTAGAGTTTCTCAATTAGATTATATTTTTTTTTTTTATATTTGTTACCTCATAACTCTGTCAGTTATGACCGGATTAGGAACATTCTAATTTTAAAATTCTTATTGTAAAAAAAAGATAATCTTACAGATTGGTTTCATAAAAATGTTATCAAAATCGGTTTAGAAGTTTAATTTCGAAAACAAACTAACAAATTTTCCTACAATTGAAGTCTTTTTTTTTAGAACACAATTTCAAATTATTTTCTTTATCTTAATATTATAAAAATATCTCGTGTTACGATGTTTGTTCACGCTAATCTCCGAAACAGCTCAATTGATTTTAATAAAACTTTGTAAATATGTATTATTTGGTCCAAATTCAGAGACTTATTATTATCCCGATAAGAAGAAATGGCCCCCGGTACTTGTTAGTAATGAAATCTAACAGCGCCATTGCTACCAATATAGGTACTCTATCAAACCGACCTCCACGCGGTATCCACTAGAAACCATCGTGATTAATTCTTGTGGAATTCGTCACAATTCATCAATTCACAGATTGGTCACAAAAAATTTCATCCTCACCTATCACTTCTCACTGGTGCTCCGCCAGTGTATAATACAGTCGTGGTTACCTTTCCATCCTCACCCATTAAAATAAAATACCTACATTCAAATAAGGAATCAAAAAGTATGGAAATACTCTATAGTCGTCAGGAACCACCAGAGAGAGACTTTGTACAAAAGTCGATTGTTTGGGTACATCTGTCCCATTCGTGTTTCTACCGTGAAGCAGTTGTGTTTGCCTGGCTGTGTTTCGGTTTGAAGGGTGGGATATGGCGTGAATTTACACCTTTACACAGAGGAATAACACCTAAGTCCTCAGGAAT